AAGTACATGTCGAATTTCCCATCAACGAACTGTAATGAACAGCTAGCATAACAAATCGTTTCTTTAGTGTTAATATCAATATCGAGTATTTGTTTATTGTTGGACGCTGTGGGTGTTTTAAGCAAGGGAAGAATGTTTTGAGCTAACTGCTTCCGTAAATCTGGTTCATCTATTGTTGAAAGTCGATTCATCACTTCCCTTGCCGATAAATGCAGGGCTTCCACATATGTGATTTCCTGTCCACTTAAATTCGGAGGTATAATGTAGGAGATTACTTTATTATACATATTTGACAGCATCGTTTTGAAGAGTGAGAAGCGAGAATAGTTGTTTGAGGTAATGTTTTCTTCTTACACACAAATGTATGTGATTGCGAGACGAGTCGTTTCTGCCGATTGTATTAATATATGAGTAAAACAGCAATAAAAATACCCAATTTGACTGTCTTTTTATAGAAAAAGCTTATTCTATATAACAGAACGAAAAATTTATCCTTTCACTTATCTTGATAATGTCAATATTTACGCGGGTATTTTCACATTTACGTTACTCCGATTACTGTTATTTGATCTTTCATGGAAATTTTTTGTTGGATTTTACCGAATTCATGCGCAATTTTATGAGTATAAAAATAAACGTTATTATTTGCCACGCAGGCTATACGTTTATATTCTGGAGATATTGTAACGTCAAAATTGTGAGAATATGGCTACAACAACTACTCTTGAACTCTTTACTTTACCCGTATACGATATACATTTGATTCAAAAAGAGCTGGAGAAAGAAAGAACTTATTGTGTGCTGGGTGCTGCAACTACAGTCGGATCCTGGATTTTTGGTCCATTATTGAATCCTCCTGACAAACAGGAAAACAATTTAAGCCATGTGAGTGCATGTGGTTTAACAGCACGAGAAGTTGTCAATCGTTTGAGTTCCGTTTCAAATGAAGGACTACGAAAAAAATTAGCTGCCGTAGTTTTACCATATATTATGAATAAATCAAACGAGAATATGCAAAAGCTCTTTGATAACCTGGATTTTGACTTTTATAAATTAGATGACACAAAAGGTGATATCAATGTGAATGAACAAACGTATCAAGATTCATCAGAACGACGTAAAATCAACGTTTATTATGCAAAATGTTTAATACGCCGTATAAATGGCAAATACGATATAAACCTTGCATATTATGACTATGTTGCAGAGATTTCGTGGTATAGTGTCGATGCTCTGAGTCGAAATCGTGACGCTATTAATCGAGATCTTCAAATTGCCAAAGCATTAGCATATAATAAATTACATCGTCAACTGGAACAATCGTGGCCTGGTCAAGTCACTTTGCAACTAAAAACAGCGTTGCCTGATACTAATTGAATAAGTATTAGGCTGTGTTGCATATCTGCTTATTCAATAATACTCTCGAACTTCTTCTTGCATGTTTGTGTTTAACAGCTTTAATAAATTTTAATTCTACTTTTTTTTGAGAAACAAAGTTGCGAACTCTTTGTTATCCTGTCATCAGCTGTTTCTAAATAAAATGTGTAAGAAAAATTCATAAATTTAAATTTTTCTAACCGAGAGTTCACTCGTTAATTTGATGTTTTATGATCGTTGATGAATTCAAAAGCTAATGATTTGTCAGAGATTCAATAAATGTTCTCAAGTAAAAGCCAAAATAGATGTTAACATAGATCTAGTCAAAACTATCTTCAGACAAGATCCCACTTTACGTGTAAAACTTGAATTAGTATTAATTTGATCTACTCTATTCTTGCCGACTGTTGTAATCTATAGCACTTTTACTAGTTTTTGTAAGATGCAACTTATTTGTAAGTATCAAGATAAACCGTTTTTAATTTGACATAGAGCATTTTCTTCTATAGCGTCACATCTTTTTCGTTTCTGGCTTAATGGTATTTTTCCCTTGGTGCGCATGGATATTACCATATTCACATATTTTTACCTCTCTTTTTTTCCTTTATTGCTTAATAATGGTTTTCTTCCCGTTGATATATGGGAATATTTTCATATCTTCACGTTTTTTATATACTTAAAACGTCCATAGGAGTTTCTTATGATTTATGAAATAATATCATAGTGGTGATATCTTTTTCTTTTTTTTTCTTTTAGTTGACACTTTTATCTGATACAAATCTCATTGACGTTTTCTCCGGAATCCTAGTACAATTCAATGCAAGCACTGTCTTTTTGAGAACCTCTGTTTAGCTCTGTTCATTGCATTGAATCTGGTAAAGTATTTCGATTGTTAATCCACAGCAGTATATTGGATTTTAGTTGACATGAAAATTTCGAAGCTTTTATCTAGTTGTTCTCATGTACTTTTTTAAGATTTAAAAATGCTTTTACTGCTACTACGCAAATAGTATGTGCCAAAATAGTGTTAAGATAAGAGGATATTCTATTGAAAGGCTACTGAGTATTCTTTGGAAAATAAAAATAGAAGCATGTTTTCATTATTTATTAATACGTCTGTATTTAAAGGATCTCACTAAATAAAAGTTACATTAGATTTAACAATAGATATACCGATGTTGCGTTATTAGCGAGTCAATACTGGCATAATAAATCTATTTTTTTATACTGTTAACCATTTTAAGATGTTCTCCTCAAATTTTACTTATAGTTTTCGGAAAAATAAGATGCGATACGTTTTTCAGGGATAGAAGTTGAAACTATTTTCTTGCGAGTTTATTCGACGTTTACAATAGTTTGCTTATCATTCGCTCTACTTCAATCACTGATCTATATGTTTGTGATTTGTTTTCATATCGTTTTATTCTTGCTGAAACCATATTTTCTACTTAGATAATTCTTTCTGGTACGGCTCTTCGAATTTTTATAAAAATACAAAGAATGTGGTCAAACATATGGTCGCCACTTTTTGATGCCATTAAAACATCAGATGAGAGAAACAAATTTGTTTTGCCTATCTACGATGTCGAGAAACCCGAAGACTCTCTGGTATCAAGAATATCCTTGCCCAATGTTTTTCTTGGTACGGTTCTGAATTTCGCCACAGGGGGACTGGCTCTCCCTTTTCTACTGAATTTCTCAAAAGACAAGGAACCAAACATAACTCATATATGTGTCTGTGACCTGTCAGCAGAACAGATTGAGAATTGCCTGCAAAAAATGTCAGATGTGAATATCAAACAAAAGTTGCTTGCAGAACTTTCAACATTTATCCACTCCAAGTCAAATGAAGATATGCAAAAAATTTTTAACATTGATTTTAACTTTGATGAATTGAATGATGATAAAGGAGATATTTATTTATCTCAACAAACATATCATGATTCGTCATCACAACAGCAGATTAAGATTTATTATGCAAAATGTTTATTGTGTCGTGAAAACAATAGGTACCACATGAATCTTGCATATTGTGAATATATTTCGACCGCTTCAATTATGGCATTGTTTTTTCAAAATCGAAAAGCTATCGATAAAGATCTACGAGCAGCAAGAGCATTTTCTTACAATGCAATACATCAACGTCTGAAAGACTCATGGCCGGAACGAGTTATACTTCAATGGAAAAAAGATTTACCTGATTAATGAACGTTGTGTTCACTTTAATACACATTATACTTAATCGGGACAATCTTTTCCTATACGAATAAACAAAGTCATTTTCTTCATTTTATTGTTTTATAATATTTGAAGATTGACGAGAATAATTATTTCAATTGAAACTAAATGAGATGGTATGAATTATATTATACTTTGTACCTACACCGAGTCTTAAGAAAATAAGTAAATCGATATTTTAAATCTACTCTTACTATCATTAGGAACGAATCCTCATAGGGAATTTATTTCGTTTATCCGAAACGTAAATGCAGAAGTTGCTTATGGTAACAAAGATGGCTTTAACTTGAAAACAGCAGTGGAAATTTGTGATAAAATCGATATGAACAATATGTAGATAGGAGGAACGATGAATCTTCGACGATTAAATATACTCGAACGTACATACTGTACTTTTATTTATTGAAAAAAGTCATAAGGACTGATTAAAGGATAAATAAGATCAAGGAATTTAAATCTGAATTCCACCCACACCCACCCCAACTAGTACTGAGGCCACTTGATAAGATTGAGTTCAGTAACATCGAAATAATTCCTTAAGGTTATCGTGGTAACTCTTTACACACCCACACCCACACCCACACCCACACCCACACCCATACCCACACCCACACCCACACCCATACCCACACCCACAACCCACACCCAACCCACACCCACACCCATATCTTTATGGATAACAGATTCCATATTTTGAGCTTCGTCTATCTCTCTCATAACTAAGAAGAGCAAAGACGCACAGATAAAGTAAGCTTTAGATTTTAGATTATTAAACTCTGTATATCGCATCTTGCACATGTCAGAATGAGTGTCAGCATATTTTTTCGCTACATACCTTTACACTCGTGTCATTAAAACCCAAATTAACACCTATACTTCCATCCATCACATTTCCTATTCACACTCCAATATGATTTCAATACTATTGTGTAATATTTATTCTTATTACACAATGGTAAAAAATCCAATCATTTTTGCTACTAATGATTCATATTAATAGATGGGCCGGAAAAAACCCACTTATTGTGTCATTTGCTTACTCACTTTTTCTACGTGTATGCTTATAACTAATCTATTTATTGGAAGTATGTGTCTTGTAGAAGGGGTAAAAACGTCATCGATTATAATGTGTGTTTGTGTTATTGCACAACACAATCGCAAGCTATCGACAGCTCCGTCTGAAGGTATAAAAAGCCGTATACAATCACTTTCATCTTCAACCGGTGTCGAGCAGTTTCACAGTACACCGACGTAACAAAAGACAACAGGTTTCTGATGATAACACAACTTCTCGAGCTGTTTACAAATTAATTGGAATATTTTCTTCGTAGTTTCTCAGGCTTTCTAGCTTGAGAGTTACACGGCTTTTGGCTTTGTCGCACTGAAAAAGTAACTCAGCTATCGTTCTTCACCATGAGAGTGCTCATGAGTATAGTGCGACAAGTTCGATTGCCACCTTTGTGAATGACATGTTGAAGCCAGTTTCGTTTGATAAGTAATGGCGAACTGGACTTACATATTCACTCGGTAGCAATCGTAAAATGGCGTTCCAAAAGCAAAATAGAATTAACTTTAAAATACTGCGAATACAGTCATGTGGTATTGCCAAATGCCCACAACCGGAAGTTAACATAAAAAGTTATGGCTTACATTCTATTGCTCAATAGTTTCTATTCAGAAACAAATATTACTTCTAGCATAATGAATAAATTGAAGAAGGAATGTGATTGCGACTGTATGTCAAAGTCTTTTGTCTTGGTAAAATAGGTGCTGTGTCATTCTATCATCTCTTAAGCTAATATATTATTCAATAGTATGTTTTATGCAGAAATACCTGCTTATTCAGCTTAAATACTTCGGAGTTTCAGATTGTCTTTTTGGTCACTAGTTCACTTAGTAAATAGTTCGGAGAAATGCTTGTCTTGTTTTTCACAGAGATGTTGCCTCACACTTCAAAAGATATAGACTTAATGAGTAGAAATTGCTGTACAAAACATACTGCCAAGCGATATGTTAGAATAATCCGATCAGATCAAATCTTTTGTGCCTTCTGAAAAAAGGATGGAAAGGCGTAGACTTCTTTGACCAACTAACAATCGAAGTGTTTGAAGTGGTAAGCAAAAAAACCAGGACTTATTAGCGTCAAATGAAAGCTCTCAGCTACAAATTAACAGCCCATGGCGTAAATTTCTGCGAAAAAAACGCGTTCTCAAAACGCATTTTTCCATAGTTGCGAAACGCGTTAATGCTGACCGGTTTAACGCATTTCACATCTGCTAATACGAACGCTGTGAAACGATCGTTTTTCTAAAAACGTTTCGTAGCGTTTCTCTAACTGTGGTGTCGTACATTCTAGATGGAAAAAAATGAAAACCGTCAAGTACTTCATGCACTTTGAGTTGCAGATACAATTATTTTACTCGCTTACATTTTTCATACACCTTTAGAGCTATAACTTAGATCAATTTTGATAAAGCCAACACATAGATTCGAACACGAGAACATAAGAGTAGAAGACATGTGTACAAACCGTTCAACTAAAATAATCTAATGATATAAGTGCTTATTCTATAGTCTTTCAGAGTCTTCCGTAAACTTATTAAATTAGATTTTCAGTATCCCAAACCATTAAATTAAAAATTATCATTTCCTTGGTGCCTATACCCAATAACGAGTTTGATCTCCTCTTGGTATATTTTTTATTTGAACTTGTTTAAATTTAAATTTAAATACCCAATTGAAGCGATTTTAATTAATTTAAA